TGTGAAAGGGATTTAATTTTAAATCCTTTCTCTGCTGTCCCAAATTTCCTTTGTCCGAAAAAGAGGGTATGTAAAAAAAAAAAAAAATAATAATAATAATTCAAATATTAATTTACTTTTATTGTTTATATAGAAAAAAGAGATATGAAAAATATGGTATCAATTGAAAAAGAATATGAAATGGATAGAGATAAAGATTTTAGGGCACTTGCTGTTATAAGGTATATTAAAGATGTTTTATCAATTATAATTAATAAATTCAACTACTAATTAATTATTTCTTTTTTTTTTTTGAATTAACAGAGGTAAAAATATTAGATACTTAATGAAATCAAAGAATATTATTGTTGGTAGAGATTTTTCAAGTAAAAACCAAATTGATCTTGACTTGAATGAAGAAAATCCAAACCATATTAATAGAATCTCGAAAAAACAAGTAATTATCATTTTTATATTATTAATTTTTTAAATTTAATTAATTAGTGTATTAATTTTTTTTCTAATCCAATAATTTAAACACATATATTAAAAAAAAAAAAAAAACCACACCAATTTACAAAAAAAAAAAACCTAAAAATAACCTCGTTAATTTCAATTCTCTATTATAGTTAATTATTAAATTAAAATCAGATGCAAATTTTTATATTCAAAATATAGGTAAAAATACAGTATTTGTAAACTCATGTCCTTTACCACCATTTGAAAAGATTCATTTACAAGATTTGTCCCTAATCGAGGTAAGTAATTTATAAACCTACTAAAAATAATCTTTATATAATATAATTTATTAATACCTTTTTTTTTTTTTAAAAATAGTTTGCCGATATGTTGTTAGTATTTGAAATTAATAATACATTTTTAACAAAGATTAAGAGACTTTTATTAAAACCATCAAATCAAGCAACTTCGACAACTGCATCACTTACAAATACACCATTTTTATATGGCGGTTTAGGTCCAACCCCTTCATCTTCTAATTTAGCCTCCTCATCTTTAATCTCTTCTGAAACTCTTCATGACGATTTTAATCTTCAATCACCAAATATACAGGCAAACACTTTAAATTTATCACATAGTTCAATTTCTGCAGCAACAACCACAACAACCACTACAACCACAACAACCACAACAGATACTTAACTCACAAATATAACTAAACAAAATACAATAATTATAATAAAATGTACAAATCTTTAAAACTATTTAATTTCATTTGTCTTGGAACAAGTGTATTTTTTAATTTATTTATTTTTATTTAATGATTACAATATAAACTTAATAATTTATTAAAAGAACCCAATTAAAAAAAAAAAAACCTTTATTGGTTTTTTTTTAAAAAGATTTCTAATGGTTAAAAACAAATTTAGAAATTTTCCTTTTGAAAACAAATAATTAATTTAAAAAATTATTTTTTTTTCCTTTTTTTTTTTTTTTTTATAAAAAATATTTTTTTTAAAAGAAATAAATATAAACCCTTTTTAAAAATTTTTTTTTTTTTCATAAAAAAAAAAAAACAATATAAAACAAACTATTTTTCCCCATTATTGCACTCTATAATTTTTTAAATATTTTTTAGAAAAAGAGGGAAGAAGATTAAACATATTTTACAATTTTAAAAAAAAAACTTAAAAGGATTAAAATAAAGGTAAATATTAAAATAGAATTCAATTTACAATTAATAAATGTTAAAGAAATATTTACAATATATCCAAAACCATAAAAAAAAAAAAAAAAATCCCAAAAGAAATTTTTTTTTTTTTTTTAATTTTTATAATTATTTTTTGAAATGAAAGAGATTAAAAATTTAAATTCAATCTTCTTCCTAAATCACAACACGATGATAATTTTTGAACATATTCAAAAAATTTATGATATGAACGTTAAAATAAATATTTAAATATTAAAACGCACATACTCCCAATCTAGTATTCATAATGTGTATAATTTAATTATATGTATTTATTTCACTTGTTCTGTGTTCAATCATTTTATATTAAAATAAATAAATAAAAGTAAAAAATAATCATCAAAAAAATAATTGAACCTTTTTTTAACACACCCAAAAAAACATCTCGCCCATCACACACATAGAAAAATAGACACACTCACATGCAAACAGAAACACAAACCCACTATTTATATGTTATTGTTGTTGTTGTTGTTGTTGTTCAAAAACAATATTATTAATAATAATAGTAGTTGTTATTGTTGTATTAGTGTAATAGTAGTAAATATAGTGTTGGGTTTATTATTGTTATATAATCTCGTTTTAATGCACATAAAGCTCAAAATGAGTTAAAATAATAAAAGTTCTTATTGTGAATAGAGATATATATTTATCATCATTTTTTTTTTTTTTTGTCTTTTAATTTGCAAAATGTTATCAACAAAAGAAAAAATAATATAATATAATAATTTTATTTTATAAATAAAAAACAAAATATAAAATAAACACCCACACAAACAAACACACTTATTTAAATCCCATTGAGAGATCATATCTTTAAACATTTTGTTGAGTGCGTGTGTGGGTGTGTGTTACATTTTTTTTTTAATTTTTATTAAATTTAAAATTGAAAAAAAAAAAATTTTAAATATATTTTTTTTTTTTTCAATTTATTAAATTGTTTTTAAAATTATAATTTCTTTTTTTCAATTTTAATTTAATTTTTTTAAAAAAAATAATAACAAACAAATATATCCACTACAAATAAATAAATAATTTAGTATATATAATACAGTAATAATCTTTTTTTTTTTTTGTTTTTTTCATCATTCTTATATTCAAGTTTTTCTTTTTTTTATTTATTTTTTTAATTTTTTACTTTCTTCTTCATCTATCTTTTTTTTTTTTTTTTTTGTACTATATTTAAAAATAAATAAAATAATAACTATATATATAGATAAAAAAGAATTATTTTGTATCATCATAATAGAAATTTTTAACGCGAGAAATTTTGTATTATATTAACTATACCATATCTATAATAAGTAAGGAATTTCAATATCATATCATATCATATCATATCATATCATATCATATCATATATCAAACATATACCTATATTTATTTATATTTATATGTATAAATAAACTATTTTTATTTTGTGTAAATTTTTTCTATCATTACCAATATTAGAAATATTTTTATTATCAATATCCCCCACCTACCAATAATAACTCTATCCTCTACTCCACTCAAATCCAATATTAATGATTACCCATAAAAAAGACATTATAAATATGAAAATATCACATTTTTATATAAATAAAATAATAATATTTTCAAATAATATTTAAACACACCACCAACACATACTATCTCAAACACACACACTATATACACACACCCACTCTCACCCTTTTTGTGTGTGTGGGGGATTTAATAATAGGTACATATTGTATGAGTGCATATTTAGTTTTCTTTATGTATTATAATGTTCTATTATCATATATTATATTTATTTGTTATTTTTTTTATTTATAAAAATAGACTCTTTTGTGTGTGTTTGTGTATATTTGTTTTGTAGATTTTATTTATTGGTGTGCAATTACAATTTACAAATCTTTAATAAAATATAAATAATTATATTTAAATAATAAATTAAATTAACAAAAAAAAAAAAAAAAAAAAATTATTTAATAATAGTAATAATAATAATAGTAATAGTAATATTAATAACTATTACATTTTGATATTTATTTATTTAAATAATACTATAATAAATTATATATTATTTATATAACAAAAAATATTCAATCAAAAATAAATAAAAAAAAAAAAAATAAAAAAAAAAATAAAAAAAAAAAATTTACAAAGATTAGATTATATTCATTTGAAACAATCATAATAATAAGCAATTTTATTTAATCGTATTTTATTTCGTTTTTGTAATTATTAAATTTTTACTCTTTTTTAATTTTTTTTATTTAATTATTTTAATTATTTATTTATTATACTTTTTTTTTTTTTTTAATTTTTTTTTTCATTATAATTTAATAAACCAATACATATCAATAGAAAATATTAATTTAATTTTTTTTTTTTTTATAAAAAATAAAGAGTTTAATAATAACATATTAATAAATAATAAAATAACAATATAATGAACCAATCAGACTCTTTAAATATTGTAATTAGGTAAATATATAATATGTTTTTTAATAATAAATAATTAAAATACTAATAGTAAATTTTTTTTTTTTAAAAGAATTTTAAATAAAATTTCTAAAGATAATTTTCAAGTTTTAATTGATCAATTGGTTTCAAAATACCAATTATTAGATAAAGATGACTCTATTGTATTTTTAGATAAAATTTTTGAAAAAGTGGTTGAGGAACCATCTACATCTTTACCTTATTATATTCAAATTATAAACAAAATATCACCAATTTTCGAAAAAAAATATTCTTCTGTAAGTATTTATTATTAAAAAAAACCAATATATAAAAATAATTATTAATTATAAAATTTAAAAAATTTAATTAGGGATTTGGTAATATTATAGTTGACCATTTTAATAACAAATTTAATAATTATTTAAAACAATTAAGATCATCCAGTTCATTTAGTGATTACGATTTACAATGCAAACAAAATATTATAAATTTATCAAAATTCATGGGAGAATGTTATTATTCACTACCAAATACTTTTTTAATTGACTTTGTAAATGAATATCTCCCAAAAGACTTATCAAAAGATCCATCAGAAGATTTAAAACCAATACAACTAACGGAAGTAGAAACTTTAGCAACCATTTTTACAGCGGCAGGAAAAACTATTGATTCCTTTAACAAGAGTAATTGTGCTTCGTTATCAACACCAATATCATCACCATCCCCATCTGATCAACACTTTCAAAACATCCAAACTGCTTTAGATAACGCAACCCCAATTTTGTTATTTTTAATTGACAACAGACAACTATTACCACCAAGAGTTAGATTTATGGTAAAGAATCTCTTTGAATTAAAGAATAACAAATGGATCATCCCAAAACCAACCAATGACGATTTTAATACCCAAAAAGAAATCTTGAAGCTAGCAACTACTTTGGGCAAAAATGTAACAAAGACAATAATGGAAAAATGTGAAGATGATTCTACACTTCTCTCTATTTTTTGGAAAGGTTTCTTCCAAACCATTGGTATCAATAACTATAAAATGCTAAGACAAATGATGATTGATGAAAAGTCAACCCTCTCTCCATCCTCTTCATCCCCAACCATCCCCCTTTCACCTTTCCTTAGAAGAACCATTAGCAACTCACCCTCACAATTTAATCTCTCTGGTGGAAGCACACCATCCCAAATGGATATTGACCCAACCTCATTCGATTTGAATCAAATGGACCCAACATGCGCACACAATTCTTTATTTGAAAAAGAAAATCAAGTTCCCTCCATACATAATCTTTTAAACCAATCACCACAGCAACAAAACAACCAATCAAATGAAAACAACGATTTACCAAATGGATTTTTATCTCCAAAAATTTCGAGATCGACATCACCATCTCTTTCTTCAACTTCAACAACTACAATTATACCAACTATTGCCCAAATGTCAAAAGGTAGAGAAGCTTATTCAAATCCAAACAGTTTAAATAATCTTAAAAATCATAATATAAATAGCAATAATAACAACAGTAATAATAACAATAACTATAACAACAATAACAATAGTGTTAATAGCAATAATAATGCAAATAAAACCAAAGAATCACCAGAGCTTTCAAACACACCAGATTCAAATCTTTCAGTAATAGTAAGCATCATTGATAGTAAAATATGGACTCCACAAAAAGAAATCTGGAAAAAGAAAATAATGAACAAAATTATTCCAATGAAATCTACTCTCAAGAAAACCCAAAAGATTGAAATATTAGCAGCAATCTGGCAAAATATGTGCGATAATAATTATGAATATGGTTCTTATTTCGACCTTTGCTTAAATTTAATTAAAATGGATGAAGGTGAATTATCGCCACTTTACGCCCAACCAGAAGAACCACAACAACCACCCGTTAAATCTGGTAAGCCACCTGCAACTGCAGAACCAATAGTAAATCCACTTTTAAATAAAATTAAAACCCCAAATAGAAGATCCTCAATGGTTGCACTTCAAATGAAACCAAACGCCCCAATATCAGAGGCAAGACGTTCCTCTATCTCTGTTCCATTCGAATTAAATCGTAGAGGATCTTTATCAGGCGATATCCCAACCTATTGCCCACCAGCACCAAAATTAAAATCAACTCCAACCCTTAAATCAACTCCAGCAACATCAATCCCGTTGGCTTCATTGGGAGGTACTCAATCTTTAGCCTCATCTCAAAAGAATACCCATCCTTCCTCTGAAGTTAAGAAGCAGCCAAATGCCAAAAAACATAAACCAGATTTAGATACTTTCAAAGATGTTTTAGTAAGCTCTCTCCAAGATGACTTTGCATTAAAAATGTTTGTTAAAAAAAGAAGCCTTACAACATGTAAATATACTTTTCTTTATTGTCGTTTATTATAATTAATATAAATTTACTAACCAATTATTATGACTATACAATAGATATGGAATTATTAAAAGATTTATATAGAGAGTTTATCATCGAAATACCTTTATTATTAAAATGTATCTCCTTAGTACATAATGGTTTATATGAATTAACAGATGAAGAATGTACTTTATTATTTGATTTGGAAGAAATGGCTCAAGAACAACAAAATTTAGAAAAACAAAACAATCAACAACAAAACCTATTAACAAATAACAATCAAATATTCCATTGGAAAACCCAAACTTGGGAAGATAAACCACAAACCCCACCACCACCTCCAAATTCTTATGTAGACTTAAATTCAGATGTATTTGTTTTGTAAATAATATTATTAATTTAAATTTTTATTAAAAATAATATTTAAAAGTAATAACTACATATAAAAAATGGTTTTAATAAAAATAATTTAAAAATGTATAATTAAAAAAAAAAGAAAAAAACATAGTTTTAAAAAATTTATTTTGTGGTGATAATAAAAAATATTTATTACTTTTTATTTATAAATTTATTTAGTTTTGTCATATCATCGTTTATATTTGTCCTCATTTGTTTCATAAATGAATGAACCTTGCCCATTGAACCTAGTGCAACCATTGTAAACTTTGCAAAATGACCAACTGACAATATCCCACCATTGATATTGGCTGCCTCGACCATCACCAAAAATGCCTCCTCCATTGACTCTACAATATGATGATTTATTGATGCTTTAAATACCTCTAAAAAATCTTTTGTTGGTGCACTTTTAAACTTTTTAATATTTTCCAATAGCTGTTTGATTAATTCGATTGATGTAAAATAATTTTTAATTTTTTTGTTTGACTAAAAATTAATAAAATGTTAATAAAACTGTATTTTTCTTTTTTTTTCTTTTTCTAAATACTTACAATTCTTAAATATTTTAATGATATAAATTTCTTTTGAACTTGTGAATATCTTCTGACTGCTTTTGAAAATATGGTGTATTCGTTTTTAAATTCTGTAGAAACTGTGATGGTTTTTAAAATGCTATTAATAATATCTGTAAATTCCTCCAATGAATATTGGTTTGTTCCTTTTGATGCGCCACTGGTATAAAATTTCTTAAAATTGGTTGTAAATTCATTTATTTGGTTTAAAGATTTTTGTTGTTTCTCCATTTCTTTCATATCTTTATCCAAACCATTGCTATATGAATCTTTTAGTGCTTTAATATCTTGTTCACTTAATGTACTACAATCAAAATTTAAACCACTATAATCTTCTTCTACGCTCATTTCCTTGGATTCTTCATAATCACTACCGATATTTCCTAAAATGCTATTAATAAGTGATTTAGAATCAACTACACCATTGTTGATTATAACTTGTTGTTCGTTTGAATTTACTTTTATAACGTCATACTTTTCCTCTATCTCCGTTGATATTTTTTCTGATTGCTTTGGTTTACTATTATCATTGGGTTTTATGTTTTTATTTGCTGTAGTTTTGGTATTTTGTGTACTGATATTTGATTTGTTTTTTATAGTATTATTATTACTAATTGCCTTTCCTTCGTCTATTTTATCAAATGTTTTAGTTTCGACTTTTTTTATATTAGCTGGTTTATTATTGATTGACTTTTTATTTTCAACAATCTTTGTATCAATAGTATTCTTTGGTTTAGTTTCTACTTTTTGAACATTATTGCTTTTATTTTCGGCTGGTTTTGTATTGGTTGGTGCTTTTATTTCAGTTGATTTATTTTCAAAATTTTTACTAATAACTTTACTATTAGTAATACTATTACTATTACTATTAGTATTTATATTACTAATATCACTTTTATTGTTATTATTGTTATTATTATTATTATTATTACTACTTTTTATATTATCAATAGTCGATTTTATTTTTTTTGGTGGTCTATCTGTAACTTGTTCTATTTGATCAATATTTCTTTTATTATTTTTGATTTTATCATCAGATGTCGTTATTTTTGTTTTTGGTTGTTGGGATAATGAACCATTTATATCTTCTTTTTTAGTTTTATTTAGATTTTCGTTATTATTATTTATTATTCTATTACTATTATTGTTTGGTTTTCTTAATTCCTGAGTATCTGGTTTTTCTTTTTTTTGAACCAACTCCAACACTGATGAAGAGGAAACTTTGGTTAAAGTTTTTAACTTTTTATTAGATTTGGACATATGTTAACAATAAATTAAAAAAATTAAAAATAAAAAAAAAATTTTAAAATAAAAAAAAAAAAAATAAAAAAAAAAAACGAAAATTTTTTTTTAAAAAATAATTATAACAAGTTGTATTATTATTTACTTTTTTAAAAAGATTTTAAACAAATGATAAAAAAAATTAAATGATTTATTTCATTTCATTTTATTTTATTGTTTTATTTCATTATGAAAATAAATGACTATTAAAAAAAAATATGGCTTTAGAGAAAATTTCCTTTTTTTTTATTTTTTTATTTTTTATTTTTTTTAAATTTTATTTTTTTAATTTTTTTTTATAAAAATCTTTTTGCAATTGCTGGAATTTTTTTTTTTTTTTTTGCCATATCATTTGTATTCATAAATTTCAAATTGTAATAATAATATGAAACTCCTCTTAGTTTTAGCTACCATTATTTTCACTCTTGGTGTTGTTGCATCATCAGTTGTTATTCCATACTCATACCCATTATACAAACAAGTAAGTTTAATATATCCTATCTTTAGTTTTTGTGGGTTTTTTATTTGTTACCACATCTAAAATTTTAAATAATTTTATTTTTATTAATTTAAATTTTTTATAATTTTAGTGCGATAGTCGTTGGGGTAGCAATGAAATCATTAATCAAACTGTTTGTAACGTTGGTTGTTTAATGTCATCATGCAGTATGGCCATTGCAGGAAAGGGTATTACTCTCGATGGTAATCTTTCAAACCCAGGATCATTAAACGAATGGTTAAGAAACAATGAAGGTTATGTCGGAGACGATCTTTTAGAAGAATCAGTTTTAGAAAATATTTCAAATGGTATCCAATGGGTTGGTTCATACCCAGCATCCGCTTTCACCATGGACGAAGTTGTAGACATGATCAACAAACAAGTAGTCGTTATTATCAATGTTTTACAAGGTGCCCATTTCGTTTTAGCTGTTGGTTATGATCAAACCAACACTGTTTTCTACGTCAACGATCCAGGTTTCAATACTTTAACCTATACCTATGAAGATGTTGTTGGTTATAGAATTTTCAATATGATCTAAAAAAATTAAAGAAAAAAAAAAGGAAAATAAAAAATATATTAAAATTTAATATATAAAATAAAAATAAAATATTTTAAAAAAAAAAAAAACTATGATCTTGTCTATTTTTTTATTTTAAGAAAGTAATAAAAAAAACATGAAAATAGTGAAAGATATTTTACAATTTATTTAAATATATTATTATAATATAATAGACTATATTAGATTATATTAGATTATATTAAATTATATTAAATTAAGCATTATATTGTTGAAGTGGAGCTTTATATTCAACAAAAGTTAATTGGAAATGGTGTGGTTCAAAAAGAGAAATTTTTGTTTTTTGAAATTTGTTCTTTTGTTGTGGTTGTTCGGTAGTAGTGGCAGTAGTATTATTGATGGCATTGGTGGAAGTAGTATTTGAAGCGGTTGATTCTTTTTGTTGGCAATAGTATTGTAAGGTTTTCATGGCAATATAAACTTTGCTCATTCTCAAAGTTGAGGTTTGAGTGGCAAATTCTTTAACCAATGGTTCAACCTTATTTAAAATATCCATAATATATTTTGCTGAATCTGAGAGGGTTGGATGATTATATTCCATAATTGCCAAGTTTAGAGTGTTAAAAATTGCATCTGGTACACTAGAGTTTTTCATTAAGTTAAAATGGTTTCTGGCGCTAATAAATTTCTTTTTGGCTTTTTTATATTCACCTTTGGCGTAGTAGAGGTGACCGACTTCCAATAATAATTTAGACCAATCCATATGTTTTGGAATTGGAGAATTATATCTTTCTTTAAAGAATTGAATTAAAATTTCTGAACCCATATTTAAAAAGTTTTCTGCTTCATCAATTTTATTTAATAATCTAAAAATTTGTGCTCTATTTAAATAACATCTTGCTAAATCTATTCCACTATTTGCATTTTGTGATGCAAGTAATATTAAATGACTATTTGCATTTCCATGATAGAAATTTGCATCGTCATAAAGACATAATTCTTTATAGTATTCGCCAATATTTGTAAAAATATGTGGTAATAATTTACTAAAAGTAAAAAATAAAGTAAAAAATTAATATACCTATATTATATAGATTTTTTAAAGTAATAAAAGATTGAATAGTTACACTTCATATTTTATAGCTAAATTATAGGAGCCTAGGAGATATCTTTCTGCCTCTTGGCTATTACCTTGTCTTAAAAGATTTAAACCTAAATCATTTGTGGTCTCGATTCTGTAAACATAACTTCTATCATAATCAGAGTATTTGCTAAGGGAATTTCTAAAAAACTTCTCACCTGCTACATATTTTCCTTTTTTTAATGAAACTAAACCTGCGGCATATAATGGGTAGCCATAAAATGATGATGAAATATCGACCTCCCTAAATAATAATGAATGTTATTAACATTTCTATATTACTATTATTTTTTAGAAATTTAAAAATAAAAAACTTACTTTTGAAGATTTCTTAAAACACGAACTACATTTGATTCTGCATTACTTAAAAAACCAGAATCTGCCAATGCAATAACTTTATCAAATTCGATTTTTGTGTGATGAACTGGTATTTTTCTTGAATATTTAAAAAAAATAACCTGATAATTAGGTTTTGAAGTTGGTGAAATTGTTGAATAAAATCTACTATTATTTATAATACTATTATTATTATTATTACTACTATTATTATTATTATTATTTCTACTATTATTTAAAGAACTATTAAAACTACTAAGGACAGTGCCTCTACTATTTATAAATGACGATACTGCTCTAGTAGTAAGGTTTTTTCTAAAAAGTTTGTTTGTTAAACCATTCATATTTGTTATTGTTTCTCTCTTTTTTTTTATTAATAATATATGATATTTATCTAAAAGTTAATGTATAAATTTGTTTATATGTTTTAAACTGTTTAATTTTAAATAAAGAAAAATAAAAATAAAACTATTAATTTGAAAATTTAAAAAAATAAAAATAAAAATAAAATAATATTTTTAAATGTTTAGTGTTTATCTGTGTTGTGTGTTTGTGTGTTTGTGTGTATGTGTGTTTTTGTATTATTATGGAATATATTGTAAAATAAGAAATAAAATGTATTTATATAAAAAAAAAAAAAAAAATAAAGATAGTTTATGATTTATGTTATAATAATTATTTACAAAAATATACAAAAAAAATTATAAAAGTAAAAAAGTTATATATTTATATTATATTAAAAATTGTGTGATATGAAATAATAAAAGAAAAAAAATAAAAAAATGAATTTTAAAAAATAAAAAATAAAATTAATAAAAATAAAATATTATTAAAATTTAATATTTTGAAAAAAAAAAAAATTAAAAAAATAATTTTTTTTTTTTTTTTGTTTTTTCAAATATTTTTCGTTCTTTTAAATAAATATTTTTTATTTTTTTTATATTAAATATATAATAATATTAATCGATCAATTTATCGATGATCCCAAGCAGAGCTACCATTACAGTTGCATCTTTTTTAAAAAAGAATCAACCAATTTTAACATCATTAAATAATACCACCACCAGTAATCTTTCAAAAGAAATGAAAAATAATAAAAACAATAAATTTGCAGGAAAAAAACCAGCACCACCAACCAAACCACTTACAGCAACACCACTTTCACAAACTGCTGCCGCTTTACTCGGCAACAAATATTATAGCACTAAACCAGATTATGTCCCAAAGCCTTATTTAGGCCCACCAGGAAAATTAAATGATGTTGTTAAACTCGAACTTTTAGAAAAAGAAGACGCCTCAACTGTTAAACAAATTTGGTTACAATACCATTTACAAAAAGAATGTTTATGTGCAGTTATTCCATCCGATATTTACAAAAAATTAATTTCAAGATCAAAAGAATGGTAAATATTCAAATAATTTTTTTTTTTGTCTTTTTTCAAATTTTGACCACCCCCACCACACTATTTTTTTTTTTGTGTGGTGTTAGTTTGTTTGTGTTTTTTTATAATTTTTACAATTATATTAACAATCTTTTAATATTTTAATACTTTTTTATATTAATTATAATATAGTCCACTTTTCATTATTCCACTCCCAGGCGATAAAGGTTTCATTTCAATTTTATATCAAAATCAAGGTGATCATTTAGTATTCACCTATTTAGAACAATTTAAAAAACATTCAGTTAATGCTGTCCCATGGTTAATTGCATCACATTACACCGATTTCATCGATTCTAAAGGAATTGTTTTAATGAGAGCCGAACCAAATTTGTAAATAATAAAAATATAGATAATAATATAAAATATTTAATATATTACTAACTATCCTCTTTATCATTTATACAGAGAAGTTTTAAATAACACTCAAGCTCAATACCTTTATAATCAAATTCAATCATACCTTTTAGACGACACTAAATATAAAATTATGGAAACTTTTACCAAACGTCCACACGAATTTGATTTCAATTTAGTTATTAAGGATATGGAAAAAATGTCACTTTTAGATAATAAACAATCCGAAATGGCCTCAAATGTTATCGAGTTCGAAAAAGAAGCCGAATTAGTAAATGAATCCAAAAAAGAATAAATAAAATTTTAATATATATAAAAAAAAATTTTAACACACAAATAGAATTAATTATTTCAAATTAATTCAAACCATTTCCAAAGTAAATCATAATTTTTTTATTTATAATAATCTTTAATATAATTTATTTAATTTTAAAAAAAAAAAATGAATTGAATTATTTTTCTTTTATTTTTTTATTTTATTTCTTTGTATCTTATTATAATATATTCAGTTAAATAAACATCAATCAAAATAGTTCTTTTTAATAGATTAATAAAGAAAAACACCAATAAAAGTTTAATAAAAAAAAAGAATTGTATTAAAATGGCAAAAAGAGAAAAAAAAAGAAAACTACCATACCAAATAGGTAAATAATTATTGTTTTATAAAGCTTCTAATTTAATAGTTATTAATTTAAATTTACTATTTAATAGATAAATTTCCAAGTCACACCTTTCATTACTATTCTCCACCCAATAGTAATAAAGAAATGTATAACTTTCAACTTAGCAATGAACTACCTTTCCCATCACCCCCACCATCACCATCTCTTTCGTCGGTAGATGACGAACATTCAGATAAAATATTATACAATGAAGAAAATTCAATAAACACTTTAGATTTGGGTAGTAAGAAAAAGCAAAAGGTTGATGGAGAAACACTAAATAAAATGTTTCAAGAGTTAAATGACAATAGAAAAGAAATGAACTGTAGTTTAAATAATTTTCAAATATTAAATAACAACTTGTTTGTAAATACTAATAAAGGTTTAGAAGAATCCAATGAAGGTGAAAAAGATAATGGTATTGAACAAAAAGAAGTTGAGGGTCTCTTTTCATTTCTCGGGGACGATCAAGAAATTAATTTAAATTACTTTAATGACTCATCAAATTCCTCACTTGAAACCAACTATGATGAAAACTTTTTATCCCCATCACCCAATACAACTACTTTATCTCCATCACCAACAAACAACCCACAATACCTCCTTTATGATGGTGACTCATTCGACAAAGTTTTAGAAAACCTTAGTCAGTGTAATAATTAAAAAAAAATAAAGAATAGTTCATATTTTATTTATAAAAAAAATTTTACATTTTTATATTCATAATATATCATAATTTAAATAATATATTATAAATATAAAATTTTTATTTTAGATTTTTAAAAGGTTTTATGATTAAATTAAATCATAAATTTACAAATGATTTATATATTGTTATTATTATTATTATTTTATATTATATTATATTTTAAACTTCAGATTTTGGGGTATTTGATGAACCAACATCATCAGTTGGAGTTGTACTACCTACTGGATTTTCTGAAGCTTGTTTACGACGATGTGTTTTTTTTGGAGCATCTTCATCTTCACTTTCACTATCGCTATAACTTGAGGCTGAACCATCAAATTGGGTCTTTGATTCGTTTTTAACTAAGGTTTCAAGTAAACGAATAAGGTCTCTACGATAACCACTTCTGTTTGATGCATTACCTTTGTGTGATTTCTTCATTTCGACACCACCTTCTTTATCTTCACCTTCAGTTGGAACTGGAGCATTGAGAAGAGCGAGAACAGTTTCGACATCTCTTGGGTAATCGACTGGAACATGCCAGAAAGCAGAATCTTGATAGTATTCCTTTGGTTTAAGACCACCAACTTTCTTGAGGAGTTTAAGTAACATACCAACGAAAAGACCACCAGCAATACCAATACCAATTGAAATAAAAGTAGCAGCAGCGTTGTGTCTGGCTTGTGAATCACCAACTTTAAAGATAGCATCATATTCGGCAGCACCGTATAAATCTTTATTACGGATACCTCTTTCGGCGGCAATAATAGCAGCTACACTACCAATGAAACCTGGCATACAGTGAAGATTGTTAATACCACAGGTATCTTGAATATTGAATTTACGTTGGAGGAATGGGGTAAGGAAGACGTAACCAATAACACTAATGGTACCAGCAATGAAACCCATACCGACGGCAGCACCTGGGTTAATATTAAGATGGGCAATACAACCTTGAACAACACCACCAGCTAAAGCAGAGTTTTGAACATGGACCATATCGATTTTGTGACCTTGATGACCAAAGAGTCTGGTGATAATAAAAGTGGCAATAGTTGAACCGGTTAATGATAAGAAAGTATTGGCAATAGCTCTGAATTGTGGTAAACCTTCTGGAGCAATAGCAGCATTGAATGATGGCCACATCATCCAAAGGAAAAGAGCACCAGCCATAGCGAAATAATCACCACTGTATGATGGACTGTTATCATCACAATCTTTTGATTTCTTATCAGTTAAGAACCAAGCAACAGTTAAACCAAAGACAGCACCGAATAAATGGATGTACATACCACCACCGACATCGATAGCTTTTAAGACCATATCACCAATAAACATATTTAAGAAATAAAAGATTGGTTCGAAAATACCCATAACTAACATTTGTAATGGGGTGACTCTACCAAGAATAGCACCATAACTGATCATAACAGAACCAGCACAGAATAAACCTTGTAATAATGAAAAGTTATTAAACTAAAATAAATTAAAATCATTAAAATTAGTACAGAACTATATATTAAATCTAATTATCTCTATAATATTAACAATCGGGTCCAAAATTTCTATATAACCCTTAATTTCCAAATCTATCTCTTTATTTTTCCCTATAAATTTATACATACAACAAAATGATGCTGAAGCCATCTTCACCAGTTTTATATGTGGTTAACAGTTTCAAAGAAACCATAGAGTAAAACTGACCATTGAGCAACCATAGCTGAAATTAAAAAGGTGTAACCAAGAGCTGAATAACCATATCTTCTTAAAAAGGTCATAAGGAAACCGAAACCGAAGAAAATCATAATATTGATATCTCTGAAATAACCATAGATGTTATCTACATCTTCTTGAGCAGCACCACCTGGGTAACCAGATGTACCTTCACCTTCTTCTAAATAATCGTGATCTGATTTATAATCTACCCAAACTGATAATAAGACGATCATAAATATTTGGAAACCAAATAAGATCATCATAAAAATAACTGACTCTTTTCTCTTTGAAAGAGTCTTAATGTGACTTTCATCTTTTGACATTTTATTTTATATTTCTGTATTGTGATTTATTATATATTTATTATTTTTTTAAAAATAAATAAAAAAAAAAAAAGAATTATTAATATATTAATTTAATTTTATAATGAATAATTTTATAAATTATAAAGTGTAATATTATATTATTATTTTTATAATGAATGTGTGAATGAATTAATGAATTAATGAATGAATGAAATAAAACAAGTGTAATTATAAATAAAAAAACTAAAAACAAAAAAAAAAACAAACAGAAAACAAACAAGTAAACTAATTATGGTTATTATTATGAAATAATTTATAATCGAAATGAATATTTTTTTTGTTTTATTTTCTTTTATTAAAATTTTAATTATAAAATTATTAGGTGCAGATACCTGGTATTTAAAAAAGATACTAAAAATTATAAATACAAATGTATATAGTCTTTTATTTTTGTATGTATTGTAATGTAAATGTGTCTCGATTTTCTAAAAACAATATTGTAAAGGAAAACTAAAACAATTTAATGGTTACATTACCCCTGTTTTTTAATAAAATATATAAACAATTTTATTTTATTTTTTTTTATCTTATCTATTATTGCTAAATAGTAGTTTAAATTTAAGTGTATGTGTTGGAAAATATATTTTTTTTTATAAAAAAATGAAAAAACTATCTGGAGAGAGTGTTTTAAACAAACAGAAAAAATATATTTAAACCAATAGATAAAAAAATAAAAATAATTAAAAAAAAAAAATAGAGTTATCTGTACAAAGTAAACAAACAAATGATATTATTTTTAATTAATTTAATAAAAAAAAAAAAACAAGTAATATATATATTGTTGTTAAAAATGAAAAAAAAAAAAAAAATATTTAAAAAAAATTTTAATTTAAAATTTAAAAAACTAATTTTATTTTATTTTTTTTTTATCTATTTTAATTATATTTAATTTTTTTTAAATTAAATTTTTAAACAATAGTACCAAAAAAGATGAAATTTTTTGTCTAATATCAATCCTTTTTGTTTTTAATCATTCAATTTACCAAAATTGAATTTCTTTTTAATTTTTTTTTTGTGGGTGTGTGAAAGTGGTTAATATAGTAAATATAATTATATCTATTAAAAATTTTCATTTACCCCTAACTTTACCCCACATTCACACATAAATGGATGAGAAAATTAAATATACATGAAAATAACATAGACACCTAAAACTAATTACAATTAATTTGTCATAATGTTATTATTACTCTATTATGTTTATTATTTTGATTTGTTGTGGTGAAATATTTGTGTGAGTGTTTGAGTGTGTGAGAGTATGTGTGTATTTGTGTGGATAGTGATATATAAGTGAAAGTGGTTAAAGTTCTTTATTTGTTGGATAGATGTTAAATTACAAATTAAGTATTTTCATATTGTTCTATTTATTGAATTATAGGTTGTGATGATCATCACTAAATAATTTTAAATTAAATTAAGACAATAAAATTTAAAATGAAAAAAAAAATAAAAAAATAAAAAAATAAAAAATTGAAAAATAAATTGATCTTGGTTTGAATAAATAAAAAATACACTGGTAATAAATAAAGTATTGTAGTTTTATAAAAAAAAAAATAAAAAAAAAAAATAAAAAAAAGTATAATTGCACTGGTAATAATTAAGGTGTTGTGTATGTGTAGTTAAAGTGTTGTTGTTTTTTTTTTTTTTGTCATTCAATTACAGGAGGATTATTTCCTATATTTATTTTTATGATAAATTTTAAAAATAGGATGTTGGTTTGAATAAAAAAAAAAAAAATTTAAAAATAAAAAGAAAAATAACTATAAATAAATAATTAAAAACAAATATATAAATAACTTACCTATATTTGTTAGATTGCACACACAAAATAAACAATGATTTAAGATTTTTTTTTTTTTTTTTTTTTTTTTTGTTGTTGATTTTTTTTTTTTGTTTTTTTTTTTTTTTTAAATTTTTTTAATGGAGAGAGAAATTTAAAAAATAATTAATAGGCCGTTTTTTTATTATACCTCAATGGCTCATTAATATCACTAGTTTTTTCGTCAAATCTATTGAGGCATAGCCAAAAAAAAAAAAAAAATTTGTTTTTTTTTTATTTTTTTTAATTATTTAATCATTAATCACTCAACCATCATGCATAAAATTTTTAAAAAAATAAATAAAAAAATTAAAAAAAATATAAATATACCAGGCAAAATGGATATTTGTTACCGCCTACACCAAAAAAATTCGTAGGAGAAAGAAATACACATGTAATTTTTTTTTTTAAAAAATATATACGTTAATATTGACATTTTTTTTGACATCCTCTATAGAAATTTCATATTCCAACACATTCGGTTTTTTCTTGTTTATATATTTTTTTTTTTTGTTTAATTTTTTTTTTTACGAAAAAAAAAAAAACCACGCTAAACATATATTAGAAAAAAAGAATGGACTTGACCAGTTTGAATTTGGCAATCTAGCCATCTTAGGTGTGAAAATCAATTATTTTCATTAAATTTAAACAGGCTGAGTATATAGGGCAATTAATACCAATCCTTTGGTTGGAAATTTTATACCCCACACAAAATAAAAAAATAAAACAAATAATTGAGTTAATAAATGTTTAATCCTTTGGATAATAAAAAAAAAACTTGAGCGTTTCTATTAAAAAAAAACAAAAACACAAATATTATTTTAAAATACATTAAATTTTAAAAAAAAAAATTAATTTTTTTTTTTATCTATTTATTTAATATTATATAATTTGAAAAAGTAATTGTATAATGATTATTGTTCATCTGGGAAATTTGAGAAAATTCTTAAACGTGAAACACCCACCATCTGGGAAAATATTTAAACGAACATGAGTGAATTTGTTGTTTTTATTATTTACTAATTCGTTTTGGTAAAAGTGACGACGATGACCAGTTAATGGGGTATTTGGGAGAATGTTGGTCCATTCATAGTCGGTAAGACGGTTTTCATCTGGAGCAGAGTTTGAATTAATAGCATCGATTGAACATGAGACTGGGAAATTACCTTTGAACCAATTGGTATCGACTTCGATTCTTTGGACGACACCTTCTTTTGCAAGTTTAACGATTAACCAATCATTACCTGGTCCTCTTCTTCTCTTTGTTTCCCAACCATCACCCATATTTACGGATCTACCTGGCATAATAATATTGTTTTTATTACCATAGAAATGATCACTACAGTCTACAACAAGACCACCATTTTCAATGGCAGCAGTGTCGACTAATTCACCTGGAATAACTAATGTCCAATCTTTAACACATTTACCGTAAACACGAAGTCTAGCAACACCTATTGAATAGTAGTATAGTGTTAATATAATGAATAGTTTTTAATGGAAAAAATAAATGAATACGAACCTCCATCTGGGTAAATTCTGAATTTAAGATGAGTGTATCTCTTTTCACTCTTGCAATCGAAATATTTTTTCATTGAACTTCCTAATTCAGATTTCTTTAAAACTTCCTCCCATTTGTTAGAGTCTGATAAATCTTTGAAGGTTGGATTTGAGTCGTCGCAAAGTGCTTCAATTGAAGCAAATGGTGGATAGTTACCAGTGAAATAGGCGGTATCGATTTCGAAACCATAAATTACACCTGGAATACCTAATTTAACAATACACCAATCGTGATCTGGGTTATGTCTTTTGGTTTCCCAACCATCCTATTATATTTAAAAAAAAAAAAATTAATATCAATTTATTTGAATTTATGATCTTTGTGCAAAATTTTTTTTTGAAAATTCCAAAATCCAATTTTTTTTTTTTTTTTTTTGAAAATTTAAAATGAGCCACAATTATTTGAAAAAAAAAAAAAATACACAAAAAAAATTATAATTTTACTAAGGAAGATAAATTTATAATTATACATACCATCCATTTACCGGTGTCAACATATTTTTCTGCATCCCAGACTGGTGGAGCATGTTTGATGAGATTTACACATTCAGCAAACCATTGATCGCTGCAGCCAAGAACTGCACCACCAACTTTATCTGATAAAAGTTCAGCGCATTCAGAAACATAAAATGGGGCATTTGGGTCAGCTTTATTATTACCGTAGGCCATCTTGAGTTGTGTAAATTTCTATTATTGATACAAAATAAATATATATATAAAAGGAAAAATTAAAAAAGGGCTAAAAGAATCAAAAAATATTTTAATATATTTTTTTAAGGGTACATCAAATTATATAATTAAAAATAAAAATAAAATAATAAAAAAAAAAAAAAAAACAAAGGCTTTTAAAACCTCAAATTAAAAAAAAAAAAAAAAAAAAAAAATAAATAAAAAAAAATAAAATTAAAAAAATAAAATTTAAAAAAAAAAAAAATCTAATTTTCAATTCCAGTGAGATGTTTATTATAATAATATTTTGTTTATATTAATAGTGTGTTGCATTATTATTCTGGTAGTTTATTATTTATATTTTGTTTTTAATTTTTTTTTTTTTGTTTAATTAACGACAACAAAATTTTATATCAACATAAAATTTTTTTTTGGCTGGAAATTTGAACTGTGCGCAAAAAAAGAATATATTGGTTTATGATAATGGAAAAAAAATTTTGGAATTTTTATTTTATTTATTATATGAATAGTAAATATTACTTGATATAATAATATTTATTTTTTTATTATTATAATTATAAATATAATTAAAAAATAAATATGTTTTTTATTTTTGTTTATTATGGCATATCACCAAAACATTGCATTTGTGTTTATGCGTGTGTTTATTTGTGTGTGTTAAATTGAAAATTTAAAATAATAACAAATTTATAACCCCACTTGTCTAACTTTGACAGTTTTATTTTTATTATTATATTAATGAATTAATTATTTTAATTGTAAAAGAATAAAAAAAACAAAAATTTCCAAATGACATTTTAATAATTGCTCGAAAAAACAATGTGTAATAAACTAATTTTAGATTTATTATTTTTAATTCTTTTATTCTTTGGAGTATTAATTGTCAAGTATATTTAAGATATATATATAAAAATAAATTAATATGAAAAAAATAAAATAAAAATGGTGGTATCATGATTAAAGTTTCTTTTTTATTATCCACAATGTTTTTAGATATTTTTTTAGATTTTTTATTTTATTTTTTTTTTTCTTAATTTTTTTTAAAATTTTTTTATTATTGGTAATAAGGGTTTATGATAACGAGATAATCATCACTAATAGTTTGTATTGGCATTCTATTACTTATTATTGTAATTAAATATATTAAAAATTAAAAATAAAAAATAAAAAATTTAATAAAGTAAATAATAAAATGAAACTATATATTTTATTAATTTTTACAACAATTATTGTAATAATAAAATCATCAACATCATCATCATCATCATCATCAAATGAGCCAATATCTTATAACGGATGGGAGTTAGTTTTTGAAGATGAGTTTGAGGGTAATACCTTAAATATAAACAATTGGAATCCGATATTTCAATCATATGATTATAATGCAGAATTGGAAATTTATTTACCAGAGAATATTGTTGTGGATAATGGATACTTAAATATCATGTCAAAAAAAGAACAATACCAAGTATAATTATACCCTTTACTAATACAATACCAATAATAATAATAGAAACTAATAAATAATTATTTTTATATTTATAATAATAATAATAAACAGTCTCATAATTATACATCAGGTAAATATAATTGTTATACATAGTATTCATTAAATATTGTTATTAATAACCATTCATTTTTTATAGGTAAATTGACAAGTTCACAAAGGTTTAATACAACATTTGGCAGAATTGAGGTTTCTGCTAAATTACCAATTGGTAAAGGTTATTGGTATGGATAATAATAATAATAACAATAATAAAAGTTATATTTTTTATTAATTTTTTATTAATTTTTCTTTTTTTCTTTTCTTTTTAAAGGCCAGCTATATGGATGATGCCAGAAACCGATGCTTGTTGGCCATTGGCTGGGGAGATTGATATTATGGAGTCAATTGGTATTGATGATTTAATTTATGGTACATTCCATTTTAGTGAAAAGTGTGGGGTTAATGGCCAAGAGGGTGGTAATGTAACAGTTCCAACATTTAATCAAGATTTCAATTTATACAGTGTTATCTGGGATGAAAACCAAATCATTTGGATGGTCAATAATGTTCAATATTTCCAAATTAAAAACAGTGATATTTTCCCTATACCAAGTACCATTCCATTCTACATTATATTAAATACTGCTGTAGGCGGTGACTGGGGTGGCTATCCTGACGAACAAACTGTATTTCCACAAAACTTTACAATTGACTATGTTCGTGCCTATAAACAAGAAAGTAATATCTAAATTATCTATTTATATAATTAAAAACACGGAGGTGGTGCCCATATAAATAAATAGATAATAAAGGGTTATAACCAATTAAAGATAAATTAGTTTATATTTATTATATTATTATAATTTCCATAAAAGCACATTCACCCTCTTAAAAATTTTTTTTTAAAAAAAAAAAAAAAATTCAAATTTCAAAAAAATTTTATTTTTTTTTACTTTTTTTTTTAATAATTATCATTCATCGCTATTTTTTTATTTATTATTTTATTTTTACTTTATTAAACTATCGATTTAATATCTCTTTTATTCAATTTTAATTTTTATTTATATATCTTTTTTTATTCTGTATTATAGAAATAGTTTAATAGATATCTTTTTTTCAAATACCTCGATAAATAAATACAGTAATTAATAAAAAGGAAAAAATAAATTAATTTAAAATATTTGTACAATAATAGCAGGACAATAGTAATAGTAATCAAACAATAACAATATTTAATAATAATAGTATAAATAAAACGACAGCAGCAGTATTAATGTATAATTTGTAAATAAAAAAAGAATAAAATTGATAATAGAAAATAGTGTTTATAATATAATATTATTAAATTAATAATGTCAACGATTAATCTCACAAGTGATGAAATTAATTTTTTAATTTATAAATATTTATTGGAAAGTGGGTTTCAGCATTCAGCATTTAGTTTTTATAATGAATCCTTGGTTTCAAAATCAGATATAAATGGTGCAAATGTTTTACATGGTACGTTAGTATCTGTGCTTCAAAAAGGCCTACAGTATATGGAAGTGGAGGCACATTTACAAGAAGATGGTACGGAAATCAATTGTACAGAGCCATTCTCATTAATATCAACACATGTATGTCAAATAAAGAAAAAGAATGAAAAAAATACAACTATAAAAGAAAAGGATGAGGTTATGACTCCGCTTACTCCTTCCGCAAAAAAAACAAATTTAAATGATATAAATACACCTTCAAAAGAGTCTTCTGTAAAAAAAGAAAAAAGAGAAAAAGAAAAGGAAAGAGAAAGAGAAAAAGAAAGAGAAAAGGAAAAAGAGAGAGAAAAAGAAAGAGAAAAGGATAGAAATGAAAGGGATGCTAAAATGAGAGATGATGGTAAATATTTAATAATCACATTTATAATAATAATATTATAATATGATTATGGCTAAGGTATCATGGTTATTAACTTTTTATTTTATGTTATTTAGATATAGAAATGACAGAGTCACAAGTTATGACATTACAGGGTCATAGTAATGAGGTATTTATTTGTTCGTGGAATCCAACATCATCATTATTGGCCTCTGGTAGCGGTGATAGCACTGCTAGAATTTGGAAGATACCACCAGGTTCAAGTGAAACCACTAAAGATCAAATTACTTCAATTGTATTAAATCATCATAATACCTCTTATCACGAAAAAAATATTGTATGTATACAATTAAAAATTTAACTTTACAACCAAACATATTATTTACAATTTTTTTTTTTCCTCAATGCTTTTAGGATGTCACAACTCTTGAATGGAGCGTAAGTTTTTTTAAAATCAAATATCACATTAAACAATATTAATGCTTTTTTAACTTATAATTATAGTGTGATGGTCAATATTTAGCAACAGGATCATATGATGGATTGGGTAGAATTTGGAATAAACAGGGTAATTTACTTTATATATTAGAACACCATCAAGCTCCAATATTTTCATTAAAATGGAATAAAAAAGGAAATTATTTATTAAGTGGAAGTGTTGATAAGACATCAATTGTGTGGGATACTAAAACAGGCGCAGCCAAGCAACAATTTGAATTTCATACAGCACCAACATTAGATATTGATTGGAGGAACAATAATCAATTTGCAACATGTAGCACTGATAGAATGATTTATGTATGTGAAGTTGGTAAGGATAGACCAATAATGAATTTCCAGGGTCATCACGATGAAATCAATGCAATTAAATGGGATCCAACTGGTCAATTATTAGCAAGTTGTTCTGATGATTTTACCGCTAAAATTTGGTCAATGAAAACTGGTGGCTGCCTTTTCGATTTCAAAGACCACACTAAAGAGATTTATACAATTAAATGGTCACCTACTGGTCCGGAAACATTAAACCCAAATAAAAATCTAGTATTGGCAAGTGCCTCTTTCGATAGTACAATTAAGTTATGGGATGTTAATATTGGTAGATGTATATATAGCCTTAATAAACATAACGATCCAGTGTACACCGTGGCTTTTTCCCCAAATGGGGATTATTTAGCAAGTGGTTCATTCGACAAATATTTACATATTTGGTCAGTTAAAGATGGTTCATTGGTCAAAAGCTATAAAGGTAGTGGTGGTATATTCGAAGTTTGTTGGAATAGCACTGGTGATAAAATATCCGCTTGTTTTTCGAACAGTTCAGTCTGTGTTTTGGATTTTAGAGTTTAGTTTAAAATCAACTAAAAAAAAAAAAAAGAAACTCAATAATAAAGCAATAAAAAAAAATAAAAAAATAAAAATAAAATAAAGAAATCTATAAATAATTTTTATATAATTTGAAAAAATATGTAAAATCATTTTTATTTTTGATCAAAATTATTATTTGTTTATTCTTTTTTTTTTTTTTTGATTTATTAATTTATTTAATATTTAGACAATGGTATTAATACCAAATAATTTTTAAAAAAAAAAAAAAAAGTTTAGTTAGAAAAATTATTTTTATTTTTATTTTTATAAATATTTTATTTAAAATTTTTTTTTTTTTTTTTTTTTTAAAAATTAAAATTTTTTTTTCTAATTATTAACAAATTCATTGTTTTTTTCCAACATACAAACTATTATCTTTTTTTTTTTTCTTTTTGCCAAAATACTAAAGGATATTATCAAATATCAAAGGATTACTATTTATAAAAAATAACTTAATAGATAAAATAAATAAAAAAAATATATAATAATAATTTCAATTGTAATATTATAAATATTTGTTTTTTTATTTCAAGTAAAGGTTAATTAACGGAAATTTGTCAAGTGTTAAAAATGATAGGAGAGGAATTAACTCAAGCTTCAACTCTAGCATTGGAGGAAGAGGTCGAATCAGATGAATCAAATTTAAAAGGGTGTTGGGGTATTTTAAAATCTTTAAATCCATCATTCCCAGATGTTTATCTAAAGAATACCGAAACTACATTTGGGAGATATCAAAATACCAATATCAATTACCATGATAAAAATATTTCTGGTTTGTATGTATCATTAAAATAATTTTTTAATTTAAACATTTCCAAATTTATTAATTTTTTATTTTTTTAAAAAAAAGGCATTGTAAAATTATTAGGGATGGTGGCACAGAAAGCGATGGTACGGTCATTGCATTTGTTCATGATACCAGTACCAATGGTACATTTTTAGATGGTGTAAAAATTGGTAAAGGTGAAAAGCGTCTTTTAATAGCAAATGCAGAACTTTCATTAACCCCTAAAAAACCAGGTAAATATAGATTAGTAGACATTACTCACATGAGCAGTAGAAATGTTAACATTTTTTAAATAATTATAGATAGAATAGCTTATTTATTTCAATTACCAGAAAAAGAGGATGATCAAGATGGACCCCAAAAGGTGTATTTATTTGGTGAACAATTAGGTGCTGGTAATTTTGCAACTGTTAAATTGGCAGTAGAAAGAAAAACAGGTTCGAAATTTGCCGTCAAAATTATAGATAAAAAGAAATATTTTATGAATGCAAGCACAAGAAAAGATTCATTAATGGATGAGGTCAATATTTTAAGAGATTTACACCATCCAAATATCATTCATATTCACGAAGTTTACGATACCGAGAAGACATTATATTTAGTTTTAGAGTTGGTTGAATGCGGTGAATTATTAAATGATATTATTTCAAGTGACGTCTATTCAGAAGAAAAAGCAAAAAACCTCTTTAAACAAATTGTGGAGGGTGTTTTATATCTTCACAGAAAGGGAATTGCCCATAGAGATTTAAAACCTGAAAATATTTTACTTAAACATAGAAATTTTGACCAACCAGATTCAATCAAATTAAGTGACTTTGGTTTATCTAGAACAATTAGCGAGGGTAGTTTTATGAAAACAATGTGTGGCACACCTCAATATTTAGCACCAGGTAACTATAAATCAATTAATAAAAATAACTATAGTAAAATAATATTAATATTAATTTTAATTATTTTTCCAATATTCAGAAATTTTAACAAATAGTTCAAATGGTGTAGGGGGCTATGGGTTAGAGGTAGATTGTTGGAGTATGGGTGCTATTTTATATATTATGCTTTGTGGCTATCCTCCCTTTGATGACAACAAAGATATATCAATTTTCGAACAAATTAGAAAAGCTCTTTTTGATTTCCCTGATGAGGAATGGAAGAGTGTTTCTGATGAAGCAAAGGATTTAATCAAAAGACTTTTATGTGTTGAGCCACAAAAAAGATACACTTGTGAGCAAATTTTAGATCACCCATGGTATAATAAGGTAATTATAATTAATATTATTTTAATTAAAATAACGATTTTTAACAAATTTATTTTATTTTAGAATTCTAAACTATCAGAGCTTTTAGAAAAAGAAGCTGAGATAGAAAAGAACAAGTTAAAAAAAAGCAATGATGATAGCCCATCAATGTTAGGCAAAAGAAAGTCAAATGACAGTTTGAATACCAATTTTAGCAACACGAATACAACATTTAGTTCAAATATACAATCAGAATCAGGTCACAAAAAATCAAAAAGTGATCCATTAAGCAATAATTCATCTACACTTTTCAAAACTGATGACAACATTGACGAAGATGAAACAACCGATGATGAAACTATTTCTTTACCTATACTCGCAAAAAATTCAAAATCAATGTCCAATATAAATAATAGTTTAAATACTAACATGAATATAAATAATGATAATGATACAAACATTATTTCAAAATCAAATTTAAATTCAAATTCAAATGTAAATACAAATACAAATTCAAATATAAATTCAAATTCAAATTCAAATATAAATCCAAATTTAAGTGCAAATACAAATACAAATACAAACGCAAACACAAATAATGTAAAAAACAACGATTTCCCTGTTCCATATCCAAAATCACCATCTAAACCCTCCTCACCACCAATTCAAAACCAAAGTCCAAACTCCTCACCCCCTTTAAATTCCAATAATAGTAGCAACAATCATCATTCAAACAATCATCAAAACAATCATAATAGCAATAACTTGCCAGATTGCCAATACGGTTTAAAATGTTATAGAAAAAACCCATCTCACTTTAAAGAATACGCCCACCCACCAGGTTTTGTTGTAAAAAAATAAAATAACAAGGATATAAAAGAAATTTGAATTTATTATAATTTAATCATTAATAATTAAATTCAAAGAAAGAAAGTTTATTATAAAATAAAAGAATGGAAATTATATTTTTTAAAATAACTATTATTATTAAATCTAATAAATAATGTTTTTGTTTATTTGTAAATTTTTTTTGTATATTTTTTGTTTCGGACTTTATTATACTTTCGAATATAATAAAAAAAAGATCTAAAATTTAAATTCTAAGATCTTTTGTGTAATCTAATAATATTATTTATTAATTATTATTAATTATTATTAATTATTATTTTATTATTATTTAAATATATTTTATAATGTGGTGAATGAAAAAAGGTGATTATTCGCTTGAAGAGGAACCAATATTTTCATTCAATGGAGTTGTCGAATATGGACTATGATGTTGACCACTATATAATATAGGACTTCCTTTATACAATAAACCTGTAGTCTCGTCATCAGAATCGTATCTTTGTGGATCTAAAAACAATCTTGCTAAACTACTGCTTGGTTGAGATTGCTGTACAGGTCTACCAGGTACAACAGCAGTTTGTGGTGGATATGCAAATGAATTAACATTTTTACTTCTTCTTGAAAGTCCACCTATATGAGTTGTTGGAATTCTCCAAAATAAAACTAAAATTAAAATATAAGGCAATATCTCCCATACTAAATATGTAACAAAAATTGTGATATTATTTCTAATGGTTCCACTATTTAGCGAAATTTGAATTGCCCCAAACGCTGCAAAGAAATCAAATATACATCTTGACGTGAAACATAAAAATATAAAAAATGTAATTGGTATAATTGATAATGGTAATTGAGACTGTAACTATAAAAAAAAAAAAGAAATTTTAATATTATAAAACTCTTTATCTTTGAATTTTAATATACACTTACATGACTTTTAGTAGTTTGCATTATAACTCTTAATCTCCAGCCATAAAATGCTAAAATTGAAACCAATAGTAAAAATACAATACCATTTAATGTTGATTGAATTTGATTCATTAATTCATTTTTTTTGTCATCACTATCGTCACTAAAATATCTACAAGATAAACCAATCCATACTAGTTTTAAAAAAAAATTAATAAAAAAATTTAATATGAATATAAATTTTATTTTATTTATACTTACAGATTTGTAAAACTAATAAAATGAAATTTACTGATGAATATGCAATCGTAAATCTTTTTCTTGTGAATCTTTCCCATGTTGCTCTATGGACAACATGAGCATAAAATAAAACCAAAAGTGAAAATGTTGCAAACTGAATATTGATTGGTATATAAAAAAATGCTGTAAATGAAACATTTCCCCAAAAATCAAAGAAACACCAAAAAACTGCTCTTGTTAAACCCCATACAAAACCCAATACTAAAAAACCAAACCTAAATGAAAATATGTTATGTCTAAATAAAACAATTAGTATTATTATATTAAAAAAAAAAAATTATTGATTGGAATCTATTTGATCAAAAAAAAAAAAAAAACATACTTGTTGTAAAGAATTCTTCCTATTTGAAATGATACAATTAAAGTTACTGTGGTATATAAAATAAATAAAGGGAAATGAATCCCTGTAAAAAATGAATCGACCATTATTTATTATATTTTATGAATATTTATTATTATGAACTATTGTAATACTAAATGAAACAACTTGTTTTATTAACTAATACTATTTATTGTTTTGTTATTGATAAGATTATTAATACGTTTATTAAAATAAAAAAAACACTTTTTTCTTTTTTAAAAATATTCTTTTATTGTTATTGTAATTTAATTTTTTAAATTTTTATATCCATGGATATATTATACAAAATTTATATATATAAAATATATATTATTACTATTATAATTTATTAAATTAAATTCTGTTTTTTTTTTTTTATAGTGCTATCGTCTATATACTTTATAAAAAATAAAAACTGCAACAACTATTGCTATAGTATTTAAATTTTTATTCTCTATTATATAGACTTTATTTTTTGTTATTAATTAATATATTATTTATTGATTTTGATTTTGATTTTTTTTTATTCTACTAAATTTTGTAAATGTAATATTTATAAAATTTTAAATAAATTTCTGTATATATAATTGTGTATTGAGCAAATATTATAATTGGTTTTTTAAAAAAAAAAAAAAAATTTTAAAATTTATTTTTTTTTTTATTTTTTTATTTTTTTATTTTTTTTTTTTTTTAAAAAAAAGATTATTATAGAATCTTATTTTGAAAATTTTGATTACCTGATTTTTTTAGTTTTTTTACAATTAAGTAGACTTAATAATAAAATAACGATTTAAAACAAATAAACTAAAAGTTTAAAAAATAAAAACATGTATAATAAATAAAATAAATAAAATAAAAAAATTATATCAAAAATAAAAAAAAATAAAAATAAAAAAATATTTAAAAAAATTAAAAAAATAAAAAAAGATTTTTACAACATTTCGTTCAACGGAATTATAATTCTGGTAAATAACAAAATCTCAATCATCGATTTAAGGGTACCGTAGAAATGGTAGAGTAATAATAGAAGTATTTTTAAATAACATTGAACTGGAAACTACTACTATTAATAAGTTGATTTTATGGACTACCATCATAATTCTTTTACAAAAGTTGTAATGCGTATATGAAGGTATTAACCACAAGAAAAGTAGAAATGAAAATTCAAAGTTTACTCAGGACTAGTAAACAAATTTTACAACAAGCATCAAAGTTTAAAATATAAAATAAATCACATTAAATAAAATTACCAGGATCATTTATGGTGCGTTAAAATTTTTATTTTATTTAATATGTTATATTTTAAATAAAAATTTCTATTAATTAATCTTTTTAATAAAAAAAAAAGTGTGATTGTAATAATTTATATATTTATTTTTTTTTTTTTTTTTTTTTTTATTTATTTGGTTTTTTTTTTTTTTGGAGTATTGGATAAATATTTGATATTCGAAACGATTTAGTTTTTCAAAGTTAAATTATATATTTTTGGAGGTATTTACAATTATATATTATCGATTATTGCTATATCATTGAAGAAGGATCAATAGTATCATTCATAATCATGTCGTCGTTATATTGATTATTTGCGATCATCATTGAATCATTATTTGCAAAATAGTTATTGTTTGTGGTGGTTTTAAAAGGGTTTATCATTGGTGTTGAAAAAGGTGTATTATTACTTTGAATACTATTGTATGATATATTATTGGAGGTTATATTTGATGTATTTGTTGATGACGATGATGATGATGACGATGATGAGATTTGTGATGATGTTGGAGCAAACAACTTGTTTCCATTGCTATTAGTACTATCATTTTCATTATTAACTATATTCTTTTTTATTATTGATGATGTTGTTGTTACTGGAGTGGGGTTTGGTTTTTTTAAATTGCTTCCTGTTATTTTACTATTATTATTATTATTTATATTTTGAAGATTTTGATTAACACCCAATGAAAATTGAATAGTCTTTTTCTTTGGTGATACACCAGCTGATAATGGTTTTGAATTTGATTTACCTGGAGTATTTGATAAATTTTTCATATTGAGTGGTGAAAGAGGAACTCTTTTCTTTAATAATGGTTTAACTGGTACTGAGGCACTAGAGTATGGAGATTGAACATTGTTTTCAATGGTTCTAACAGATTTAGGTGTTTTTGGTGTTGATGGGGTCTGGACAGTTTTTAATACTCTTGATGAGGTTGGTGTTTTTGGTGCACTGGCTCCATTAAAGGTTGAAGAATTAGATTTCTTTATAGTTCCATTTGTATTACTGCTATTGGTGTTGTTATTACTATTTACACTATTTGAACCACCATATTTAATACCCATACCTTCGGCTGCTTTGATTTGTTTTCTTATTTTCTCTGATTCTTTAATTTTCTTTTCATGTTCAGACTGTTGGCTCATCAATTCTAAATAGTTGAAACCTTCGTAACAGAATGATTGACCATATGTATTTTGCCATGAAACTAATTGTTTTTTTAAGTTTTCTTCGATTGGTGGTAATTTTTGGAAGGCTGTACTTAACTGTTAAAATAATAAACAATAGAATTAATAAAATGAGATGATACTATCTTTAAAGATGTTTTAATTTTACTACTTACTTCTTTTTCTTTTTCAAATCTGGCACGATCGAATTTTTTACTTAATAAACGCTCTTTGTCACCCAAAATAGTTTGTTCATATTCGATCTTTAAATTTCTAATATATTCTCTTTTTTCGATTAGTTGTAAAAGTGGTTTTGATAATTCATAAAGCTTCATAACACGTGAGAGTTCTAATTCAAAGAGATCTAATAAATCCTCAGAGACTTGATCCATGTTTAATCCATTTTCCTCGACGACCTGGGTTAATTTTTCCATTGGCAAATGTAAAAGATTATAATAGTTTTCAATTTTATCCTTTTCTTTTTGAACCAAATCTAATAATGAATTTTTTCTAATCTCCTCCACTCTTTCTAATTCTTCTCTGCACTATAGAAGTTGAAAAAAAAAAAAAAAAAAAAAAAAAAAAAAGTTAATATTTGATGAAAACCACCACATTATGTGTTGTTATTGTTTAATACATACAGCTTCAATGACATCAGAGCCAAGACCAGCAGTCTTTGAAAAGAAATCCTCTCTTTCTTCATCTGGTACCTCCAATTTATCCCAGAGTATTGTTATTTTTTGAGCATAATCACGTACCATTGACTCATGTTCAGATTTGATAATTAATAATTTATTTCTTTTTTGTTCTAAAACTTGTGTTGTTGCTAAGCTAAGTGAAATGGGTGAGTTTGAATTAATATTGGCTTGTGTCATTGAAATAATTGAATTTTCTAATTCGGTATCTGGTGAAACTCTTAATTCTTCCCAAAGTTCGTAAATTTCAATTGATAATTTATAAATATTTTTAAATGATTCGTCCTAAAATATTATTTTATAGTTAATTTGTATTAATGATGATGATATTATGATAGTTGGTTTAAATTTTATATTTACTCTTTGAACTTTTAAAGCATTATATTTCTTTTGAAGTGATGAAATTTTATCTAATGAGTAGTCGTTTCCTTGAATTGTACTCTCATCAACATTGGTTTGATTTAAATCTTTCAATTCCATTTCTTTAGAAATTTCTTCAATTCCAAACTCCAAATCTTCAATTACACCTATTCTATCCTCTGTTTTCTTTCTTAACTTGCCTTTTTCATATTCTATATATTCTAATCTTTGAAAAAGTGTCATTGTTGATAATGATTGATGAGTCTTTATACAAAAAAAAAAAAAAAAAAACAGCAATATTAATATTAAACTTTTTTTTTTTTTTTTATAAATAATAGTTTATGATATTACATCGTTAACAGTTTCACCCAATTCTGTTGACATAGTGCATAATGACTCCAAACCTGATATAATATCTTTAATAATATCCTCTTTATGTCTTTCTTCTTTTTTTAATAAGTGATTATATATTTCAATAATTTTTTCTGAAGCTCTATATAATTTAAAAATGAATTGAATTAGTTTAAAAATAAAGATTTTGGTTGTATATTAATGATTAGATAAAATATTTACGTATCGATTTGGTTCTTTCTATAAGCTTGATCAACTCCTAGCTCGTCCCAAATCTTTGCAACCTTTACCAAAGTTTCTTTAACAATATCTGATTCTATTGTCATTTTTATTATTATTTTATATTGTTATAATTTTTTTTTTTTTTTTTTTTTTTTTATTAAAAAATATTGATATTAATTGACATAAAATAAATTTATTCTTTTATTTTTTATTAAAAAAATAATGAGTAATTTATTTGACTTTTAATTTAATTTAAATAATATATTTATTTTATAAAAAGTATATTATATTTTATTTGTTTAAAATGATTTTTTGGGAATGAAAAATTAAAAAAATAAAAAATTAAAAAAAAAAAATTTTTAATAGCGAAATTAAAAAAAAAAAAAATAAAGCGGGATTATTTTTTAACGGTAAAAAAATGAAAAATAAAAAAATTCAAGTTCAAATATAAAAAATTTTATAATAAACACCATATTGATAAAAACTAAAAAATTTTAAAATCATTATAATAATAAATATTATCAATAAATTAAACATTATAGTTTTTTTATTTTTGGCAATGCTCTTTCAAAACTAAATTTAAATCATTTAGTCTGATTTCTAATATTTAATAAATCTTAAAATAGAAAAAAAAAAAAAGAAAAATACTGTGCATAAAAAAATAATAAATGGATCATGTGCACAAACAAGAAATAATTATTTTTTTTTAAATTATTTTTATTAAATAATTAAAATGATAAAAAAAACAATATCGATTACAATTGAAGATGTGAATACAAAATCGATTCGATT